GTGAATGCAGCTACATTCATTTCCAACATGTTAGCGTCACCTTCTCGTCCTGCTTCTCCTTATCAACTATGGACTAAATCAGATGCTCCATGTCACCGCCTAAGATCCTTTGGGTGTAAGGCTTTCATAGCAGTTCCGAAAAATCACCGATCCTGGAAATTAGGAAATACCGGTGACATCGGTATCCTGGTCGGATTTGAAAACAAAGGTTCTGTTTATCGAATTCTTCGACTACGTGACAAAAAGCTCGTCAAAACTCGACATGTGAAATTCGACGAAACTGTCTTCCCCAAACTCTCTAATGATTCGGTTCCCTTCTCGATGAGTGAACCTCTACTGGAAGGTGAATACGCGCACGACTCCTTCGAGGCCGACTCTGATTGTTCCTCTGTGTCAACTCACAATGAAGAGATTGAACATCCTCCTGTTGATCACTCGACTCCGGACTCAACCGATGTTCCTCCTGAAAGCCCAACTGCTCCGACTGGCTCCTCATTAATCATTGGAGATGTGTCTTCTGCCAACATTCTTCCCTTTCGTCGTGTTCGCAAGGCCCGTGTGTTCTTCACTTCCGTGGGCGACAACATTCCGGCTCATTATCATCAAGCTATACACGGTAGGGAATCTGCAAGTTGGACTGCGGCAATCAAAGCTGAACTTGATGCAATGGATAGGTTGGGGGTGTGGGAAGTCGTCGCTCTCTCTTCCGGGATCAAAACAGTCGGCACTACTTGGGTCTTCAGAAAAAAGAAAGCCGATGGATCGACCGTGTTCAAGGCTCGGTTGTGTGCGCAGGGTTTCTCTCAAGTACATGGAGTCGATTTTTCAAAAACATTCGCTCCAACGGGTCGCCTGAATTCCTTACGAGCGCTCGTCTCTTATGCTGCGGCGAACGGCCTTGAATTCCATCAGCTCGACGTGAAAACGGCCTTCCTCAATGCTGACTTGGAAGAAGACGTTTTTTTGTCTATTCCCCAAGGAATTAATCTCGACAAGAAGAAACAGTGCCTTAGATTAAAAAAGGCTATTTATGGCCTGAAGCAGGCTCCACTCGCGTGGTATAATCGTCTCTCAAAATGGCTTGTCTCGGTCGGATTCAGTATTGCAGTTTCCGACCCGTGTGTATTCTATCGGTTGACGGGCGATCCTGTGTGGATCTTCATCCATGTGGACGACTTGGCGGTCTTCAGCAAAAATGTGGCTCCATTCAAAGCTGAAATCAAAGCTGAATTTGATATGAAGGATATGGGAAGGGCTGATTTAATGCTAGGAATCAAGATTTTACATGAACCTGACGCAATAGTCCTCTCCCAGCTCCATTATGTCAACTCCGTTCTCGAGCTCTACGGCATGGGCTCCTGCAGACCGGTCTCCACTCCCCTTGTTCCGAATCTGCACCTGGCGAAAGCTTCCGTGGAAGAACAGGATCGCTTCAAAGCTCTTGGCGTAAATTATCGAAGTGCAGTGGGTGCCCTCAGTTACTTGTCAACTGCGACTCGCCCAGACATAGCGTACGCGGTCAGCTCACTCTCACAATTCTTGGAGGAGCCTGGCATTACTCATTGGGAAGCCTTTACTCATGTGCTTCGATACCTGGCTGGCACGTCCGATAATGCGCTTGTCTACAAACGCGGCGAACCTGAGGACCTACGAGGCTACACTGATGCGGACTGGGGTAATTGTTTGTCAACCCGACGCTCGGTGACGGGATATCTCTCTCTCTTTAATGGCCATTTGATATCCTGGCAAACCAAAAAACAGCCGGTGGTGTCCCTCTCGTCGTGTGAGGCTGAATATCGAGCCTTAACGGATTTCTCCTGTGAACTTCTCTGGCTTCGCCAATTTCTCGATGAAGTGAATCTAGCTTCTGCCGACGGCCCGACCATTGTGCACGAAGACAATCAAGGATGTATTGCCGTCGCAAACTTTGAAGCCAACACGAACGCAAAACGCATGAAGCACGTGGAAATTCAATTACACTTCATCAGAGACGTAATCAAAGATGCAAAAATTTTTTTGCAGTACACTCCCACCAACGAGATGCTTGCGGACTTCCTCACGAAGTCAGTACCTCGTGCCGCTCTCGTGAAATCCTTGGAAAAACTGGGACTTTTTCGCCTGGAGGGAAGGGGGGGTGTTGAGATCTGATCGCGATCCCTCCAGTACTCTAGTGGTGTTTTTCCTAAAGTCACCCATTACATAAGCCCAGTCGACTTCTCAATGACATCATCGCTGCGGTCTCTGCAATGTCTTATATAAGTTCCTTCCTTCAACCTCGCTCGTCTTTCTCCCCATGACTCCAGAAACCTTTATCGTTGTTTCTCAGAAGATTCTTTCTTCCTCTTCTCATCATCTCGGACTCATCATCGTCACTCTTATCTTAAAGACTTGTGATAATCTTTTTCTTAACAAAACTTCCTCCTCCCTTCTTTCGATAAAACAACTCGCTTGTTAACTATCATCGCTCGTCGTCAAACATCATTCGACTCGACCGTTCTCACTTCATCTCGTCTCCCTTCTATTCGACTCTCCGCCGACTGTTAAACCTCTCTTGACTTCATTAGGTCACAGTAGGTGTTCACTCCATTCTCTTCTGGACGGCGGTATAACCAAGACTCTGACTTCTTTTCATTATTAGTCTTTGCTCTTGTTTCTTCTCTTCTTCGCTTATCGTGTCCCTTGTCTAGTTGTTCCTGCCTTAAGGTACACTCTCATTTCTTTTTGCCTGATCATTTTCTTTGTCATGTATTTCTTTGTTAAACTCTCACTAACCTGAAATACATCCTTAAGTTTGGTAATTAACAGGGAGACCTACTTCTGTCAGTGGGTGGGCCAGGCCAGGCCAATTTCACCCAAAGTGTTGACTGGCCCAGCCCATTTATTAAATGGGTAGCCTGCAGGCATCTATGTAAAATATGTAAACAGAGTCCTATAGCCAGTCTGAATTGACTGTATGATAAGGCCTCCACTGCTACTTACTTGAGGTTCCAGAGGTAGTAAGAGCTAGTGAGTAAGACCTGCCTCTGACTCTTGGAGCTTTCAAGACTCCAGTCTCTGGCCTCCCAGCCCCCTGTTCCCTGGGTCACTTCATAGTTGGGTTTGGTGGGCCAGGGTGATCTAAGTTTTTTTTTCTTCTCAAAAATGGCCACCTGGCCCGGGCCCAAAACCACATGGATCCGGGCCACCCATCAAACACCTGGCCCAATGAGCATCCTGACTCTTGACCCTTGGGGGATGAATTTTACAATTCACTTGAATAGCACTAGATAGGTAAAAAATGATTGAGGTTGAGTTTCTGGGATCTGCGTCTAAATTGAACCATTTTGTACTTTGTATTTAGGCAAGGGGGAAAAAAGTCCTCCAGTAACATGCAAGACATGAATTTGTGTCCAGAAAAGTGAAAACCTCCCTTAGAAGCAGCAGTCTATCCCACATGGGTTCACTAGATTAAACACCAATCCCTAACTAGACAGTGAGACAGGTAAAACACACTCAGTTCCTTTCAGGGCAGACACCAAAAACAAGGGGCTTGTAACTCAAGTGAAAGCTTTGGAATGGGGGTTTTCAAGGATTTTTTGGTGGGAATTTCACCTCGTTTTCTTTCTCAATCTCTTGTGTATGTTGGACCATTTGAGCCACCAAATTAGCCCCCAGTATTCTCCACAATATGTTTAACCTTGGGAAACACCAGGTTGATTCCAGATTTTCAATTCTTGAAACATAACTTGATGAGGTTGTAAGCTACCAAACTGCAGAAATATTTGGTTGCAGAAATTATTAATTTTTATTACATTACATATAATTGTGGAATGAGATGTATCTCCTACTCACTCAGCTTTTTGAATCTTCTTGACCTCATTCAAAGTTCCTTTTTGGACTCTTCAATATGCTCAAAACAAAGCATTTGTTTCTTTGTTACATCAATTCTGGCTGGTCATAGTTTCATTTTCTTTCAGAAATCCTACAGCATATTTCCTGCATAAATGCAAAAGGACCATTATAAACACCAGCTCACATGCCAAGCAAGACGACTGCAAGTGCAGACAACCAATGAAGACTAACCGGCTTCGACAAGCGCGACTGCAACAAGATTTCATCTGGCAAGAAGCGTTGTTACAACTCTTGAATTGAAAGCCGCATGGTAGTAATTAAATGAAGATCTGTGGAGTTCCATGATGAAGTCCGGACGACATTCCGATGGGGCTTGAACTTTGACTGGCCTCGCTCGGGTGGAAGTTCGGAAGTGACAGGCCTGGTGGGCTGTCACCGACTACATGCAACAGTGTCACGTGAGCTATCACAGGCCCACCACCACCTCCCCTCCCCCTCCTCCTCCCCCCATCCCTCCAACTTCTTCCTCTTGACCATCCTCTTCCCCCAATCGGCCTCATCTTCATCCTCTTCATCCAACCGATATCAGGGAAAACAACCCACTCAGGAGTCTGAACTTGCAATCGTTCCTCCAAACACAAGAAAAAAGCTCGCCTTTCTTCTTTGTTCTCTGCCCGAGCTCATATCTCATCGCAGTCTCACTCTCTTATACTCCTCAAACATAAAAATGGCTTCTGCCGGTCGCAGAATCTATGTTGGTCAGTCAGACCACTACTATCGGGCAATCGTATCCGTCTCTTCTCCGAGAATTCCTTCTCGTGACTCATCATCATCATCATCGTCAACTCTTCTCTCATCCCAGGCCGAATCCCACCTGATGCCAGTCGTACTGATGTCGAGAAGTACTTTGGTCGGTACGGTACTCTGATGGATGTTCGAATCATGGCTGGATTTGGGTTCTTGGAGTACGACTCCGTTCGTGATGCCGAAGATGCAGTCCATGACCTCAACGGTCGAGACTTTATGGGTGAACGGTTAGTCGATCGACCGATCGATCGATCGAGCTCATACTTTTCTATTGATGCAAACGATGGGAGTGGCTCACTTTGGTTGGCATCCTCACACAGATTGATTGTCGAGTTTGCTAAGGCCCCGAGAGGTCGTGACATTCACAGTGGGGGCCATGGCCCACGTCGAGGTGGATTCCGACTCCTGGTAAAGGGTTTATCGCACGAAACTAGTTGGCAGGTACGACTCTGATCTTAAACATCGCTTTTGGAATTCTCCACGACTCTTTATCTTTGTGGCCATCCGCGAAGCCACCTCCCCATTCCTCTCTAACTCGCTCAAGCCCTCATGGCTTGTAGGTGGCCGGTGTGGATCTTGCTCGTGTTACCTCTACCGGTCCGCTTGCCCCGCTTCACTTTCTCTTCCCCTCCCCCTCCCCGTCCCTGACCAGGAGCTCAGTCCATCTTTCCATCCGACGCCTATCCATGTCGTCCGGTACAGTAGTCCCTTACTCTCTGGTATCTTGGATGATTCGTGGAAGAGCGCGAAGGAAGTGTCTTTGAGATCTGGTTGGGTTGTCCTCGTTCTCTGGGTGGATCGAACAAACGTGTCTAGGTTGATTTTGAGAGTTGTTGGTCGTCAGTCCACGAGGTGGTCTCAAGTGCTCTTCTGGTGGCTCTCTGTCTGTGGCGGGTGCTTGGTTGGCCGAGGAGCGATAACATCTCTTGCCTTGGTGGTGGTCCCCTTTCCTTTCTATTGCCTGTGGATGCTTGGAGCGAAGTGAAGATGGAAGCTAGTGGAGAAGTTCATTAGTCAGAGACTCGAGCTCAGGAGGAGATCTAACTCTTTGGATGTTGCGCTGGTGGCCCTCAATTAACCCTCGTATCCTGTTTTCGCTCTAGCCCACTAGGGGATTGGGCCTCTTACTGACCGCACTGGATGGACATCTCATATTTTGCACTGGTCGGATTGGCGTTTAACGTACTCTTTTTTTCTATCCTTTTTTCGTGTTCGTGCTCGATCTGGCTGCGATTCAACAGGACTTGAAGGACTTTGCTCGTCAAGCCGGTAACGTTACCCGTGCGGATGTCGACCGCAACATGCCTGGTGAAGGGTCTGTTTACGTTTCTCCCCCCTCTTTCCTCAGCGTTATTCACACAGCAACTCATACTTTGGCTCTTTTCTCTGTAGGCTTATTGAATTTGCGTCTCAGGATGATGCCGATAATGCGATCCGCAAGCTAGATGGTACCGAGCTGAAAGGGATGGTAGTGACTCTCATTGAAGATGTACGTAGGATTCTCTTTCTTAACAGATGAGGAAGCATCAAAGTTACTGATCAAGGTCTGATTCTCTATTTGCTGGAAACAGCGCCCAGGAGGAGGCGGTGGCGGTCGTCGCGATCGATCACGTTCTCCGGCTTACCGTGACTCCCGGGATCGCGATCGCAGCCCACGTGACCGCAGTCGCGACCGAGAACGTGACCGCAGCCCTCGGGACCGTCGCTACGATCGGGAGCGCCGACGCAGCCCTCCCCCACGTGACGACAGAGATCGCGAACGTGACCGTGGGTACGATCGTAAGGAAAGAGACCGTTCGCCTCGACGTGATGTGTAAATGCCCCGATGTCTTTCCACTTCCCTGCCCCTTCCTCCCCGGCTTGGTGACCTGGATATCAATTCACGCCACACAACCACCTTCCTCTCTCATGAGAAAGGAGTTTTTTTTCCCTCCATAAACTAATATACATCTCTTTCCTTACCTTTTTATGTTGCTTCTATATTATCCGGACGGTCAAAGCCGAGCCGACTCAGTCTCCAAGAAATCGCCCTCTGATTGAATATATCACTCCTGCCCAACAACCACCACATCACCAAAAAGAAACACATTTTCTTGTTCTGACTTGTTTCCTCGTTCCACCATCACTATCACTATCAACGTCATCAACAACAAACATGAAACATCAAATCTGATCAATATTGTCACATCTTTTTGTCAGCCGAGTTCTATATATAATAATAATATGCGCTTAGTTATAGAATGGTTTTATCTTTTGTTGCTATCATGTTGATATATGTTTTGGATTTGTGGTGTCAAATAATGGATCCAAAAAGAAAGTGAACACCCCATCTGTCTGTTTATTCCTCTTCCTCCTATACACACTTTGCTCAAGACCATTCCCTTGTGTCTTGATTGCTCTTTGATCTGCAAAGTATATGCAATCCATTTGTTTGTAAAAATCAATGTGCATGTGTTTTCCAAACATGCTTTGGGTTTGCAAAAATATTGACCCACAATGTGTGATGAGAACAAAGCCTCTCAAGTGCGAGCCCTGCAGGGTCTCCGTTTCACAGAGAGGCTTACCTGAAAGACAAGCATTGAGAGAAGGTACAGCGGTTCCAGCAAAGCTTGCGCTTTCCCCCGAAAAAAAAAAAGAAAAAAGAAAAAAAAGAAAATTAAAGTTGCTGCGCAGTGCGCATGCAGCCTTGTCATCGATCCTGATTCCCTCAATCAGATCACATCACCTGCTGTGACCCAGGGTAGCGATTGGTTTCCTAGTCTACTGGTAAGTTCATTCCTGTTGGTATCTGCAGTCTCAACCAAACTGACATCCTTTTGTGATTGCTGGAAAGGATCAGTGCGCTTCGTTACATTTCCAAGGCTTCATCGGCCTCGTTCGTGGGTAGCGATTGGGATTCTATTCATCTGGTAAGTTCATTCCTGTTGGTATCTACAGTCTCAACCAAACTGACATCCTTTTCTGATTGCTGGAAAGGATCAGTTCGCTTCGTTACATTTCCAAGGCTTCATCGGCCTCGTTCGTGGGTAGCGAGCCGGTTTTCGATCACCAAGCTGATCGTTTGGCTTCATCTATTTCTTACCAAGCCACACAAGAACTCTATCGTAAACAGTGCTTCACTGTTACGTCTCAAAGGCTACGTCGAGCTGATTGGCTTCGTTTGTCGAAGCGAGCTGTTTTTCGATTGCCAAGCCGATCGTTTGGCCAAGCCGATCGTTTGGCTTCATTCTAGATCCACCCAAGCCACACAAGGAAGCTACCCATTCTAGATCTACCCAAGCCACACACAAAACCAACGTAACCAGCGCTTTGCTGTGACGTTTCAAAGGCTACATCACTGCCCTAAACAGTGCTTTGCTGTTGGTTTCCTTGTTGAGCTGTCTTTTTCTGTTCCACTTCTCTTCTCAATTTGCCTGTCATGTACATGTCACAGATGTTGTAGTTGACCTGGGCCAGAAGTGAGTTTGTGGAAGGATTCTATTTCCTCTATCTCATTTTCTGACCCAGAGTCCATCTCTTTTTCTGTTTCACTGTCTTTTTTTTGTTATGTGTCAAGTCTGATTATCATTACTCAAGCAATGCTAATATTATCTTTGTCACTATCTCATTTTCTGACTCAGTTTGCCTCATCATTCCAACAACAAATCGGGCTGATTGATATTGTCTGCCAGACCTTTCTAAAATCAACCTAAATCTACCGTGCTTTAAAAACTCGAAATTGTTACGTCACTTGGAATTAATCAAAGATTCTATAAACAGATTGTGTTTGCCTTTTGTCCAAACTCTTCCCATATCCCTTTTTTTGCTCTCTGACAAAACACAAACCTGAGACTGATATCTACTTTGATTTTTTCTTTGAAATCAATTGAATTTTATAGAGGTCAATCACAGGAAGATGTCTAATCCCAACAAACACACCACCAATCATCCAATGTCGCCATCTCGACGCTTGGCACATGAGTGGCTTCAACAACAGCTGAACCCAGATGGCACCTTTGGCGAGCAATCAGCTCATTCAGGACCGCATGTTCCACAGTTGTTCGATGGAACGGCCCATCTTTCTCGTAACGTAAATCGTGAAACCCATTTGGATCCTCTACTCACTCAATCTCAATCTTTCAACACTTTTCACCACGAACAATCTTCTCAATCCGAGTCTCAGGAACATCTCATCCCTAGTAGTAGAAGCCATGCGACTAGCCACCAAAATCAGGATTCAGAAGCAAACCCGCTCACCAACACAGATGCTCGAACATCCAGGGAAACCCCTGTAATTGCTCCAGTCCGCATTGAATTCACACTTCATCTTCCAGCTGTCAATCAAGTTAGCAGATCTCATAAACGAAAAGAACCACCCTCCTCCGTCCCATCAACCGAAAAAGTCAACTCAGAGATTGATAAACTCATCTTGGATTGGCCGATTGGAGATAACGACCTTCGTAGCTTCAAGTCTGCTGTCATCAAATTGATACACGATGAGGAGAACGGACCACTTGCTGGTTTTGTGGAAACCCAAGAAAGCGAACGAAACATACGCTGGGATGTATCAATTACCAACGGTGGAACCTTTGCCGCAACTCACAACCAACACCTCGATTCTGCTGACGTCTTTCAACATTTCTTGGATGTTGCTGGAACTGCGCGTGCGAACCAAAAGGTAACATGTAGATTGGTACAAAAAGATCCCAAGGCTATTGCAAAGGTACATATTTGAATTCACTTCATGAGAATCACTACATTGAACTAACTGTTTTTTTGCCTCCACGTAGAAACAAAATGCTTACAAGTCGTTGGAGGCAAATGCTTCAACTAGTAACAGCGAGCCTCCTCGTGTGCCGTCGAATGGAGCTCTATCTGCAATTACTCATCGGGCGATACTTGAGGAGATCTATGCGGCCCATGGACCTTGCGAGAGAGTCTCCGGCAGCCCCGAAAAACAGGTCTTTATCAATCCTGAAAATATAAATGAATTCTTTGCCTTGACACTCCCAAGAGTAAATTTGTGGGCTAAGGCTATAGTACGTATTCAAATTAATTTCACTTTCTGCTTCTCTAGAAATTATTCTAACTTCCTCTTTGGTTCACAGAAAGCAAACCCAAACGAGGTTACTGTGATGAAACCACCTCGGTCACCATCTTTCTGATTCGAAAAAAAGTACAATGTTGACCCAGCCTCAGTCACTGCTGCTTCTCCGTCCACTTCGAATGCTGTTGCTACCTCTAATTCCGGCAATACGAATACGACGGCGTCCCAGCCAATTGACTGGTCAATGGTTGGCCAACTTGCAAGTCAAATGGCCACCCAAATGGCGGCACAAATGCAATCGTCATCCAATGCTACACCAATGATCCCATCTGCAACAAACTCAGCTTCAGCCGTCGCAAGTACCTCCCAAATACCCATACCAACTGTGACTGAAATTCACGAACCCTCCCCAGCACCATCCGATGGATCCGATGGCCTTAGTGAATTCCTCAAGTTTGCCAAGGTAGATGTAGAGAACACATTGTTGAAAGATGGTCTTGAAAAGCTAGGAATCACCCACTGGACCATGTTCCAATCGTTTACAGCTGATGAACTTGTGAATTCAGGAATTCCTGTTGGCCCAGCTCGATCAATCATCAAATCTGCCCCTCTATATGTCAACTACTTGAAGAAGCATCAGTCACAATGAATTCATTAGCTTCTTCTGCGCAATCCATGTAGTTTGTTTCAATTTTTATCATTTGGACTTGCTCAATATTTGGTGTTATCCTCACTGGCTCTCAATTAGCTATTATTTCACTTATTTGACCTTAATCTGATTAATGTAGCTCAATAACCTGGTTTTTCTTCCTCTCTTTTGAACTTGTGTTCATCACTATAGCTCAATTATCCATTGTTTTTCTTCCTCACTAAAAATAGTTGGTGTTGAATGGTTCACATTCACAATCAACTTCATATCAGCAAATTTTACTGTAGCTTAGTTAATGACTGAACAAATTTCTTTTGACCAACATGATCAATTCAGAGAAAAATTCTGTTTTAAGTGAGAACTCAGCAAAACATGAGGACAATTGAATAAGTAATGTTGGGAAAAGAGAAGTGATTAGATTTGACAGAAAAAAAAGAAAACAAATCAAACATTCAATCAATGTAACTAGCACCTCGGAAGAGGCTTCTCATCAATTCTGGGGTGAAGGTGAAATTGGCAAATGTCTCAATTGCATCCCCATCATCTTCACCTCCACTGAGCTCTGCATATCGCCGTAATGAAGCTTTCAAGACACTGAATCCTTTTTCGATTGGATTGAGGTCAGGCGAATAGGGTGGGAGATAAATAATATGACATCCCTTTTCTTCAACAATCTCTTGAATCCGGCCATGGTGGTGAAAGGATGCGTTGTCTAGGATGAGCACACTTTGAGGTGCTGGAAATGGATTCATCATTGGAACCTGTATGAACATGTTAGTTTCTATTGGTAGGACATGGAGAAAGTGATGATACTTACTAGAACATTCTCCAAGTAGAACTCAAAATCAAACCGATCCATGCTGTCTTCCTGGACCATTGAAGCTACCAATCCACTTAGAGCAACAGCAGCAACTAAGTTGAATCGATGCGTAGCACGTGCGTGAGGAACTCGCTGCGTCCTCTCTCCCACTGGTGCCCAACCATGGGTACGAACAACACCATCAGAGCATACTCCACTCTCATCTAGACAAAAACAAACCAAAAATGAGCATCAAGGAATATTTGACAGAATGAAACAAACTCACCAGTAAAAACAAGGCATTGTGGATCATAGTGAGCTATCAATGTGATGTAATCGAGCCGATCCTCCATATTCTGGCTAGGGTGAACAGTTCGCATGGTTTTACGAGACAACTTGAGTCGAATCTTGAGTTCGTTTGAGATTGTTTGTAAAGAGATCCTAACATTTCGCTCGTTGGAGAGTCGTTGCTGAATTTCAGTCAGATAGATGGTTGGATTGTTGGCCACTATCTGGGATAGAAACTCCCTTTCCCCTGCATCCAAAGCCAGTGGTCGACCACGGACAGCATAATTCTCTGGATTGGAGACAACAGAGCGAGTTTCTTGATATCGCTGGCTCCATCGACGAAGGGAATCAGAGCTGACAGTGGATCCGTGTTGTTCATTGATTTCGTCCAAGGTTGAGCCTTCCAGCGCAGCTCTGACCACCTGAAATTTGAATTGTGTGTCGTAAATGACATGCATCTTACCTAATAGATGACAAAAGAATGCTTGATTAGTGAGGTTATACATAATTAGTGAGGCTATAGAGACATGCAATGGAGGAGGAAAAAGCACTCACCTTGAGGCCCCTCTTCAATTGCTGTTGGAGATTGATTACTATATGATTTTGACTGTATTCAAGATTAAAACAACATCAATTAGTGTGTTTGAACAGGCTGGAGGAGGAAGATAGGAGGAGGACACACCTTGAGGTGTGTGTTAAATCACGACTTGAGATCGTTAGTTCTTTGAGTTGTTGAGTTCAATAGCGCTGGAAGTCAGTCGCTATCGAAGATCGATAGGTCTTTGAGTGGCAATCGGAGTTCAATAGCGCCGCGAGGACAGTCGCTATCCGAGAACGACTAGTCTTTGAGTGGCAATCGCTTCTATCGCAGAGATCGGTAGGTGCTTGAGGTCTACCACTAGTTGTGTTTGACGGCCGATTGGGATCGAGCGCCACACGAGTACGACAGGAAATCGACGAAGTAATCAAGTACGACAGGAAATCGAGCCAGTGATCGAGCTCGATTCCAACGATACGACTTGAATTGCTCCTCGATTCCAACGATGCTAGAGTTCGGCTGCTGTTTCGACGCTTATTCGGACGCTTATTCGGTTTCGATACCTATTCGAATTCGACACCTATTCGAGTTTGACCGCCTTCCAAGTGAAGGTTGCTGAGATTTTTAGTCATCCAGTGCGGTGCATGCGCACTGCGCAGCAACTTTAATTTTCTTTTTTTTTTTTCTTTTTTTTTTTTCGGGGGAAAGCGCAAGCTTTCCCGGAACCGCTGTATCAACCTGATGGCCTGGGTTGGGTAAGAGCATTTGCATTTGTTAGGTTAAACTGCCAAATTATGGCAACTTAACCCAACTGGCAGTCGCATTGGCCCCGGGCAAACTTTGGGTTAACAAACCTGAAAGTCATTTTCAGCTTGTTGAGGGTGGGTTTGGTCTGTAGTTTAGCAAAAGAGGTCTGTAGGGCTCCTGAGCTACCTAAAGATTTACCCCAACGGGGGTGGATGCTCTTATGTCCGCTAAACTTAGCGGACGTTAACCTGGCAGGCTGACCCCAGGTTTAGTTAACCTGAAAATCTAGCCAGCAAATGTGATGGTCCCATCCTTGTTGACAGAAATTGGCTTGTCAATGCAGCAGGTTCCTCTGATGAAATGAACAGCTGTGACAGTTTCTTAAGGATCACTTGATAGGAACAGTTAGTGCACTGGGGGAAGTAGGAATAGTTGAAGCAAAGAAACAAAGACTTGGGATTTATATTTCACTCATGAAGGCTTAGGAGGGAATGACAATGCATGGAAAATAAACCAAATAGGAGGGCCAAAAGCCTAAAACGGGTTACGGTTCAAAAAAACACAAGAGATATGAAGACCAAAAAAGTAGAAATGTGAATAATAGGGGGTATCAAATATAAGAAATCCACCATTAGAAACCAGTCAATTATCCAAAAATATTTTTTTCCACCAATGGGTCCACAAAGGGGTAGGATGAAGAACCAACATGTTTGAAAAATGGTGGTTTTTTCATAACCAGTCAATTAAAAAAGGGTGGATTTGGTTATATTTGACACCCCCTGATGTGATTGTAAAATATGTTGAAAGTCATTGCAACAGGAAGCAGAAATTTTGCCTTGTCCGGTAGGGAGGTGAAAGTGGTGTTAAAGTAGTGCGGTGTTGTGGCCTGATTGGATGCTTTGCAGACTTGTCAAGATAAAAAGCATCATGTGAATTTGATAGATATGGCAGGAGATAAGTGTCCAATGGGGATATAAGCTAGGTTGATGGATGGAGAAAAACTGGTGCGTTGATAATTGCACGCCTCCCCCCTCCAAAAGGGGCATGCAATCGAACCCGCCCCTCAGGGAGGGGCGCGTTTGATCGCATGCCCCTTGGAATCCTGTCCTGAAAGTTTTGCTTACATCAGTGAAGGGAGAACTTTATTCTCCCTTCACCTCCCAATTATGGCATCAGGAGGGGCGGGTTTGTCTGCCGGCCCCTTGGAAGGCTGTTTCCAAGGGAAAACAGGATTCTGAGGGGTGGGGGTGTGGGCGGGCGGGGAGGGGGGAGGCATGTGATTATCAACGCACAAAAAACTGGTCAAATCAAAAGGGATCTGCGGATAAGGCACTTGACATTCTTGGTCAAATAATTGAGGTTATTGTATATGACAAATTAAGGAAGAGGTGTTGGACCAATTTGAAAGATTAAGGAAGAGGTGTTGGCGCAAAAGGAATCAGGAGATAGTGATATTTACAGGCTAAATGGGAGAACAAAAGGGTGGAATAAGTGCAAGAGAAGCGGATACTGACTCAGGATTTTGGGCACATGCAGGTTCAGTAAGAGAAATTAGAATTAATGTCTTGTGCAACATTGCTAGTAGCAATACCTGTTGAAACCAATGGTTTGAGGTTTAGACTTAGAGCATTCACATTGGTTGAGTTAAATTGCCGGGTTAAGGCGAGTTAGCCCGACCAAGCCTGTTTGTGCACTTGCATCGATTTGAGGTTAGCAACAGGTTAGCTAACCAAAAGTTTGATTTCAGGTTTGCAGTCGCTAAATTTAGTGATTGCTAACCTGAAACTTAGTGATTATGCAGGGAGTTGTCCTCCTGGGTTTTTTTAACCCATACTGATGTGTTTGACACCAGTCGGCTAGCTAACCCGGACCTCCAACCCAGGTTTCCTAACCCAAAACTTAACCAGACCAATGTGAATGCTCTTAATGTTAAAATTTTTAATTCACCAGCGCACATCTTTATAATAACTTTGTACATGTTGTATACATCCTGAAAATCCTAGTCATCCATTCCCAATCAATTCTTTGATGCCCAACCCAGACCTTCCCTGTGAGATTCTTGGGAATTCCGCAGTATTTCAATTTGTTCAAATGTGCATACTGATGAATTCTCATGATTTGAACCACCTTGATGGTGAACAATCAGACATCTGGAAAATTTGAAACTAGCCACAATGAAAAGCAATACTCAAGAATTGTTGTGATACCAAAGGTATCACCAAGGTACCCTAAGAAGGGGGCTTATTTGGGGATTCAATACATTTGTTTACCAAAATGTGTTTAGGGTTGCTTAACCTCTGGATAATCTGATAATGCATTACTTTATCCATTCATTACAGACAAAATCTTCACCATTACACTATTGGCTGAAAGAAAAATTTGCCACAACAGATAACATTACCACAACAGATAATGTTAATGTATCAGGGAAAGAATCAAGTGCACTACATTGCTGAGGTAATGCAGATAGCGCAGCGTAAAGTAGCAACCCAGCATTGCTGACAAGTGGTTGCACTTTGTGCCCCTGCCTGCCTGAAGGCGGGAATTGCTGCTAAGTTTGGATGTTTGGGGGATTCAAGTGACAAGTATAAATTGAATCATAATACAAGCAAGCTAAGGAAAAAAGGA